TAAATACAATAGAATAAAAATATTAAACAAGCAGTGATTTAAGCATCTCCACTGTAAGAAAAACACTTTAGCTACAGCAGTCCTTCAGTCAAGACTAGTGAGGGATTTTGTCATTGTTTGATTAATGATAAAAACAGGCGGCAGCAGGAATATTTCTCGCTGTCTCTTTAATGGTTTCTCTTTGACGTCTTTTGAACTCGTTTGTTTATTACACAATTGAGGGTTAATATAAATAATCACTAAACACCGCGTTTTGACACCTATTTGACCATTAATGCGCTCACGTTACGATGACTTTAGATGTCTGCGCTCCGCTGCTCGTCTCAGTGTGCGAATGAGACCGAATGCTGACCGGCCGCATGCTTCTGACTGCGGGTGCTTGCTGCCCACACAAATAAGCATGCGGTCTTTCGCACTTTTAGAAGCAACAAACGTGAACAACTGGAAAGGGGGCGGTTTATGATGCAATAAGCTTTATCTCGATTAATGCTTTTTTAATAATCGTTTGAAATCGAAACCGGATTTTGGATTAATTGTACAGCCCTATAAAATAGTGGAGCATTTTTATGCCTTTTTCTACCTCAACACTTATCCTCTCCCGCGCCCCCCTTGGACCCCAGGTTGGGAACCACTGCCCTAGATTATATCACACTAAGTTAGTGATTGTCAAAAAACAACAGGTCTTTTATGCTGTGCCTAATACTGTATGACTAATCCTGGTCGTGGGCTGCGGAAACATCAGCCTAAACAATCTACTAGATTTACGTGATTTCAGGAGATGTTAGAGTTAAACAAGAATTTCACATTCAGGCAAAGATTTTACATTCCAATTCACATAATTAAACAAAATAAGCCGATCAAGATTGTACAACATCAATTACTCATAGATACTTTTAAGAGTTAGAGATTACCTGACCATGTAGAAATACATTGCAGCATGTAAACCTTAAAGGTGCTGTAGGTGATCTTCCACAATGCTAACAGCTTAGCATAAATCTCTGATTCACAGTCCCTCCCCTGCCATCTAGAGCTATCCCTCCTTAAACACGAGCACCGCAAAAGAACCCTCTCTCGTGTTAAAAGCGACTAGTGCTTGTCTGGCGGCGAGCAAGCCAAACTGACATGCTATGTCAGAGCAAATATTTGGAGCTGCATGGTAAACAATATAGGGAGAGACTAGGCGGAATAGCGCTATTTATTTGTGTTTCGTTGTTAAACTAATTGAAATCTACATAATCGATGCTGTAAAAGGTCCCTTATGAAACTGAAAATAGTCTTATCAATCTTTCACCGGAAGATTTTAGTGGCTGAACAACACTTCTGTGAAGATATAACCCATTTGTAACAACATCTCATTACATCAGCTTGCGTGAAGCTGAAAGTTTTAAAACAGAACATTACCTAAGAGAAATACTTCAGATATTGTGTCATCCTTTCTCCAGCGTGCAAAGGTAACTCCAATATTGATTCAGGTGTTTAAAAAGTTTTGATTCAGCAGGTCTTTACCGATCGTGTTTGCGTGCGTGCTTGCTCTCCCTCTCTCATAAACGCGCAGCACAAACGGAGGTCGGTGGAGCTGCGTACAAAAAGCTGCGCAGTTGTTCAAATCTGCATTTGCAGACAGACAGTTTGAGCTACTTATCAGAATTATGAAAGATGTCGGCCCGACTCTATTTAACTGGATGAACATTTTTTTTAGTTTTATGTCTTATCCAAAATATAAAAATGCATATAAATACATTTAGATCATTTACTTTAACCATTACTTTAACCATTATTAGACCATTAGACTGTGAAGAGACTTTCAACCAGCACAACAACATATGCTTCTGAAGACGATCACCCACTGCACCTTTAATGCAGAGCTCAGAGACTTACACACTGCAACTTGGATACTGTAGCTGGGATACCCCTAGACACCTCTCCACATTTCCCTTAAATACTCAATAGACCATAAATTCAAGACAGTAAAAGCTTCACCAAGACTCTTGCCTGGTCATGAGTTGATGTGAAGACCATTTTCGCTGGAGTGGAGCATCTGGCAAAGATCTTATCAAAGTTAAAACCCAAATGAACTGATATGAGGGAGATTGTAAATTAAGACCACTTTACCAATCACACAGAGACATTTAAAATGACACCAAACATGAAAATAGAGCAACAAGATACACCATATTCAAAACTTAGACACTCTGCGTGGAGCTGCTCTGGTGGAGAAGGTAAAGTCCAGGGCAAAGAGGGGGCCTCAGGATGCATGATCGAGACAACTTGAACAACAAGCTGATCTTCTTCTAAGATTAGAAAGTTTAATGTTTTAGTGCCTGGCCATTTTCATGGTCTTGTCTCGTGTGGAGTTCCATAACAGTTTTCCGGGTATAATATTATGGAGAGATTTAGCCATCCTTACAGATGTTATTGTGGACTACTGGAGGTAATTGGGGATGTCCCGGTCAGACTTTTTTTTGCCAAGTCATTTGATATAAAGTATATATGATTGGGAGGTAGCGCCCGATTCTGATCGAGTCTGAGATCACATGATCGGATCTGGACATCCGGGTAATAAAAATAGCATAAATTTATAATAGCTAGAAGCTAAGTAAACCTGCTTGCCAGAAAGATGCTACAGAAATGGAATGTACAATGTTCTGTACACAAACTCTCTCTCCCTCTCACAAACATAATTACGCTATCATACACACATACTCACGCACACACTTTTTAAAAATGTGTAAAATTATGCATAGAAATATGGCAATTATATACCTTTTCAGCCCAAATACACACATCTCAGATTATCAAATTCAGGCAGATATTTTTGGCACAAAAATACTAATAGGTGTGGCATCACTTGCATCATGGCTCTTTTCTGTAAAATATCTATACTGTTTTCTTATGTGGTTGAAAATATCTTATGGATTTCAGAAAAGTCTAATATGTTGTTTTTATAAGTTAGAAAGACATTGAAATAGAGAGATGACCTCAATGTTGCAAAAAGTGAAGTGTCCCAGATTACCTGAATTCACCCTAAATGTTAAAACGGCTTGCCATATGATTCAAAACTTGTGTTACAGTGCACACACACACACACACACACACACACACACACGTTCCTTTTCAAAAGTGTTCTTAGGAATTACGTGTTGTTTTGAAACACGCAGAAACATTTTACCTTTCGGCTTTCAGACTCCAGTCAGTCATAAAAACACTGTCAGCTCTTTGACGAATGTGTCAATGTAGGATGATGAAATACAACTGCTTGCAAAAAAAATAATAAAATAATTATTTTTTGTTGAATTTGAGGAAATTTATCATTCGGTAAAAGTGTCGAAAAGCGCACAGTATACTCACGTTTTTGTCTGGTATGTTGGCATCGGGTGTTTTTCGGCGGGAAAGGATGATCGATTACTCCATTAGCGGCTAATGCTGCTCTCTCTCAAACTGGGGCAATGACTGCATTCATTTCGCAGTGCCAGCGGCTGTTTGACTGATTCCAGATCAGTTCGTTTCTGACACGTTTGTTACAAACGCACTTCAGCATCCTTCTGCAAGCTGTTTATGTAAACCCTCAGTTCAGATAAATCAGATTATTTTCGAGTCGAGTCGGCTGGTGTTGTACTAGCTGTTGCACAAAGAAAAATGTCAACAGAAATAACAATGAATGATGAACAAGAAATGTTTTGTCTAGACTGAGGGCTGTGAACTGGAAACAGTCTAGTGTTTTAAAGACAGTTTGGCATCCGAAATAATAATGATAATATTAATAATAATAATACTATTTACATTACATTACATCAGGGCCGGAGTGGGACACCTTTTCAGCCCTGGAGTTTCAAGCCTCAGACCAGCCCACCTCAGTTCACGACTGACTATATTAAAATAAGGTCATTTCCAAATCAGTTTCTAATGACACTATCACGTCTTTTTTTTTGAGAAAACAGCTGCTTTAGAACTTCAAATGTTCAACAACCCTAACAGTATTATATGTCTTAACAATAAAAATGAAAACAATAAGTTACTCAAACGAGGATCGAACCTGGGTCCACGGCGTCTTAACCTAACATGCTAACCGCTGGACCGCAACAGCCGTGTTATAAAAGGAGACACAACTGAGTTTTATAATCATTAAAATAGATGAAAAGAGAAAAATTGCGGTAAAATAATGAATAAAAAGGCTGTGGTCAAGTAAATAAATAAATTTAAAAAGTGTGACTGCTGAGAGCAAAAGATTCTGGAGCTACGGACACCGGCCCTCGCGGCCAAAAAACGGACCGGCCCACCGGGAATTC